CTCTTTTTTCAACATTATGTTTAAGAACTGCCCAAACATTTTCTATAGGATTGAGGTCAGGGCTATATGAAGGCCATGACAAAATTCTTCCAGGAAGATGTTCTTTGAGATCCTTTTAACATCTTTCGATGTATGTTTAGGATCATTGTCTTGCTGAAAAACCCATGTCTTTGTCACGTATAGTCTATCAGCATTAGTATATAAATGATCTTTCTGTAGAGATGGCGGTCCATATTCTCTACAAAGGTGAACATTCCGACTTTGCCATATACAGAAATTGCGGCCCAGACGTGAACTTTTAATGAATGCTTTACCATAGGCGTAACTGAGGTCTTGTCACGAGACCATGCAAGGCATGTGTTTCGAAACAATTGTATGGTTGTTTCATCAGAAAACACAACATTATGCGTCGGTGGTCACGTGCCCACTTTAATCGAATCTCCTTTGCTTTTTGCGTCAGAAGAGTCCGCTCAGTAACATCTAAGTCTGGATGCTTTTTTTCTAATGCAGCCTTCATTTCAGCCGCAGTTTTGTAACAATTTTCTTGAATAATCCTCCCAAGTTGACGTCGCATAACGGAAGTAATTCTTCGCGGGCGACCTGACTTACGGATTTTTGGAATATGTCCCAAAAGACTGACATAACGTTCACAAGAACACCAGTTATTTTAGAAATTTCTACAGCATTCCGGTGTCCACGGTCCCAAACGCACTTTACGGGGGTTTTTGACATTTGTAACAACAAAAAGTTAAGTTAAGAAGCAAGACAATCAAAACAAAACATATATATATGTTGCGCGACACTTCCTGAATAAGATAGACACAACAAAACGCGCTTATTGTTATTACGTAGTTTTATTGTTATAAAAACGCGCGACGGTTTTACCGCCAGTATTTTTTTCCGGGACTGTATATTTAGTATCACATTCTGCAAACACGACAAACGAAATGACAAGTTTTGAAAGAATTGAGAAAGAGTTAGACGAGGTAAAGAACGAGTTGAAGGCGTTCGTTCAGGGAGAAGAATGGAACATTGCTGGACAGGTTGAGGATATGTTGCTGGGAGAAGGTGTAACCGCGCGCTGGCCATAGAGTAGTGTGTACAGTTGTGATAGCTTGCGACACTTCTTAAAATCATTAGCGATGAAATGAAGAACTGCTATCTTAAACGAAGGAACCTTCACCGTCCAATTATGCTGGAAGAGGAGATCCTTTATACTGCAATACTGTTGCAATCTATCATCCAGTATTTGGGAACAGCTGTTCCTACACAAGACACTACTACGACCTTATTGTGGAAGTTACCGAACGCATTCCGTAATGAAGATTTACGAACAAACGAATTTCACTGTTGCTAGCAAAGTTTAATATAGTACTCAACAAAATTGGTATGGTTCCGCGTTGATATTGACTAGAGATGGAGGTTTTTTGTCATTAATGTATCCTTCAAATAATTCAAACAAAGGCAATAAATGCCAAGATCACAAGAAGTTCGGGAAGAGCAAGTCAAATTCTTGAAGACACACCCAAACCCTCGTCCGTTGAACTTCTTTGTGGAGTTCAAATATCGAAGGTTGCTCGAGAGATAATTGTTAGGCCGATTACTGCATATTTTAAAACAAGAGCTTAACGATGCAAAGAAGGAGTTGGCAAAGCAAAGACAGCAGAGAAGGATAAGATTTGATATTTACATCTCAAATACTGTCTATAGACATTAAATGTTTAGACAATTTGAACTTTTCTTTTGTTATTCTTGATTTTAAACTTTGCAGTTGTGATACCATATTCAACGTTAACATTAACTGGATAATCTGTGCATACCCTATATTAGAAAGAATGACCCTTAATTTGATAGCCAAAAAGTGTCAAATTGATACTATAACTTACATCCTTGGTAAATTAACATTTACTTCAAACTTAGTGGAAAGATTATTTTCAATTCCTGTAATCCCTGTACTGTTTTCTCCAATTGTCAAATTCTCAGCCAAAATAATGACAAATCGATCATCATCAGCAACATCAATTTGTACTTGGTCTTTTTGCTGAATTCCTGGAGTATGTATCTTTAATTATGTAAAATCTATTGCAAAGAGATTTAGTTTATGTACAATGTCAAACAATACAAGATATTGACCAATACAGACCCTTCCCCGTTATCATACAATGCATATTAATATTGGGATTTATTCTGCAAAGACTGTTTTAAGGGCACCAATTTTTTTCATCAGTTTTGTGATAATGATGGAGTTGGAGTATATGCTGGTCTAGGTCTAAATGTCTAAGAAAAGAGATAAATAGAACGTCAAGATATATACAATATGATCAGTCTATCCAAAAAAACTTATGTTAATGTATTCAACTATTCTCTTGGTCTTAAAATATGTTGCATTAGAAAATCTGATTCCACACTCATGGTCCTGTGAAAGGATTATTTTTCATTTCGTTGAAAAACTTGGACGCAATCATAATGTGTACCGAAATGAACATGTCCCCATTCACTTGCTTCTCTCTTTAAGAAATGTTCAAAATGTAGTGTGGTAATTCTCCACAACCATGATTCCAATTCACCATGTTTTATGCCTTTGATTGATCCTGATACAAAAACTGTTAGCTCCGGTTTTCCACAGCACGTCCATTTTTTGTAAGATGGTGGATCTATGATAGTTAAAATATAATATGGATTACACATCATGTACTTCAGAAAAACTGAAGGGAGTTGGTATAGGACGGCGGACAAGGGTTAAATTCCACAAGCGCACACAACACAATACACTACTAAATTATACCGTCGAGTATTAAAGTATTTATGTTTCCCGTCCTGCTGTCAACCATGATTAGATAGTAGAGAAATGTTATTATATTACGCGTTCGATCGAGAATTTTTCTTGGCAAAAGTGATCGGCGTTCCGAAAAAGAACACGCATGTGATTTCTCAAACTTTTGAATTTTAATAGTGTATAAAAACGAGTACGAATTCTTTTTCACATTACTAGTAATCCAAGATTCCAAAATATCTATATTAACGTCACCTGTTGCAGATTATAATCGTTGATAGCTAAAAACATAGAAATGGCAAGATGGCCAGCTCTCTTATTAACATCCAAAAATGCATGATTCTTAATAATGCTCTCTCCAAGGCCGGCGGCCATTCTAAACAGTGATGGAATCGATTTAGCTTCTGAATAATAAAACATCCATTGTGGTCTATGAAAAGCGGATTCAAGCGCGCCTACAGTGTAGAACAAAAAAATTGGAATTTTTCTTTTCTAATATAAAAGGTATGAGGGAATTAGATAAAAGTTTACAAATATATGTATTTTTATACAAGAAACAAATTTACTTACGGCAATTTAATGAGTTAT